AGTGAATCATAGAAATATCTTCTGACAGAAGAGACAGCCTTAGCTGCCTTGTACATCTGCAGACATGATAAAAGCACTCCCTGATTTAACTAATATTGTTACGTAGAATTCAAGAGTTTGGGATCCGTTAAGTTTTCTTGCACTTAACATTTCCAAATACTCTCATGGGGAAAAAACCCGAAACATTTCCTTTGTGTTTTGCCAATATAGGGAAGGACAACATGATGCCCGCCATCAATTTTGATATTGCCCATGCAGGCTGAGCGCTATGGGGATCGTGATCTAAAACATCTGGAAGGCAGGGTAACTGTTTTGCAGCTCACTGTCGGGAATACTATTTCAGCAATGCTGTATTACTTGGCAATTTGTTGCTGAGCCCTAGTCTGTGAGGGTCCCAGGATCTGAGATTCATATAAATGGCAGAAAGCACCAAAGGAGGGGGGCTGCACTTGTAGGAGGAATTGGACACCTTTATTCTCTTGCTTCCATTTTATATAATACAGAAAAACACAGCCTTGTGAATTCAAGAGAGATGTGGCAAGCTGAAATGAAGGTGCTGGCACATCGTCTGTGCACGTATATGTGTGTGCGTGCGCACGCAAGAGTAGGAACTGGATTATGCAAGGAGTTCAGAAGAGGGGATTAGCTCTGAGTCTGGGTTGGGGTATCTGACCCCTGTGATAGCATTTGATCAATCTGGGCTGTTTGTGAGAGGGCATAGACCAAAACAGTCTTTGCCCCAAATCTAATGTAACTTTCCAGGATCATAGGAAGTGTCAGACTATTGGCCCATCTACCTCAATATTGTGAAAATGTTTTCCTTGCCTAGGGATTTAATGAAACTGGAATTTGGTGTAGCTTGATCGTGGCTCAGCTGTGTATTTCATTCCATTTCCTAAGAAAACATAAATTCACAGAATTTCTGGTATCAGCAGACAGAAATTAGTAATGTAGGCCTTTGAAATTAGGCATGTACTTTCTTCTCTAAATTTTAAGCAATCTCAACAAGATTCCAAAATATGATAGAGCATTGACTGCATATAAAAAATGCAAAGTTGTTACAAGCAAAACACATTTCAGAAGCTTTCCAAGAGTTGATGTGGGTGTACATCTTTCTTAAAAATGTGGGGGGAGGATGATGTTTTTCTCACAGAACATTTCTGAGCTGTAGTGTATGAAATCAAGATGGGGAACAGGTGTCTTTGTCCTGTCTTTGTTCAGCTCTCTTTGACATATTTACATGATTTCTAATGAGAGGCTTATGTGATGTTTTGCAAAGAACAGAAATCAAAAGCAGATTAACAGTTACTTTTTTTTAATTTAATTTTTTATTTGTTTTTCAATTTATATCCTGCCTTTTTCCTACAAAGGGCTCAAGGCAGCTTACATCATTCTCCTCCTCCATCTTATCTCCACAACAACAACCCAGTGAGGTAGGTTGGGCTGAGTGTCTGTGACTGGCCCAGAGTCACCCAGTTGGCTCCATGGCTGAGCGGGGACTAGAACCCAGATCCTCTGAGTCCCATTCCCATGCTCTTAACCACTGCACCACACTGGCTCTCTATCTATCTATCTATCTATCTATCTATCTATCTATCTATCTATAAATAAATAAAGTCACCCAGTGGGCTCCATGGCTGAGTGGGGACTCGAACCCAGATCAACTGAGTCTCAGTCCCATACTCTTAACCACTACACCACACTGGCTCTCATTTTTTCTGCTTTTCCTAATTATAAACCTATAATTTAGGAGTGATATATCCATTTCATATCCTTGTCAGCACCGCTGAGCAACACATTTCCTTACATTTCTGAAAAAGGATTCTAAGCCCCATCTTTTCTCTCTTCCACAGATTATTGTTTTAGATTGTTTCAGCCTTGAAGAGTTTTTCAGCTCTAGTCATTTCTCCAAACATTTCATGATATTTTTCCTAATTTTCATGCCTCTTAAGCAGCGCATATGAACAGTGCTACACTCAAGGAGTCATCCTTCTTCTAAACATCTTATCTCTTGGTTTTTCCTAAGATTAGGTGAACAGCAGTCTAAATATGAGCTAACAATGCAATGCGGCTGCAAAAAAGACAAATGCTGTTTTGAGATGTATTAACAGAAGTATTACTTCCAAAACATGAGAAGTAGTAGTTCCCCTATGTTTTTCACTAGTTAGACCTCATCTAGAATATTGTGTCCAATTCTAGGCACCAAGATTTAAGAAGGATGCAGAAAAATGAGAAGGGGCCCAAATGAGGGCAAACAAAAATGATTCAGGGTTGGAAAACGCTGCCCTGTGAGGAGAGACTGAGGGAACTGGCATGTTCAGCTTTGAGAAGACTGAGCGGGGGACATAATATCTCTCTATAAGTACCTCAAAGCCTGTCACAAAGAGGAAGGTCATGATCTCTGTCGGACACAGAATAATCAATTCAAGCTGCAACAACTGAGATTCAGGGTAGATATCAGGAAAAGTTTCCTCACTCTCAGAACAATACAACAGTGGAACCAGTTGCCTAGAAAGATGGTGGGCTCTCCCACACTTAGAGACATTCAAGGCAAAACTGGGCAGCCACCTGAGTGGGATGGTGTAAACTGGTGTCCTGCAACAGCAGGGGTTGGGCCTGATGGCCTTCATGGACCCTTCCAATATTCTCAGGTTCAGTGATGCTGTGTGTCTCAAGTTAACAATAGCAGGTCCATAGGTCAGTGAGAAGTTACAGCATGTCAGTATGACTGCTTCTGCTAAATCACATGATTCTTCTGTCACATGAAAATATGTTAATATTTTACACGAGGGAGGTGTAGATACCAATAGCTTTAGTACGAATTCTGTGGGTTCCTACATCAACATTGCAGGATGTTTAAATTACAGTGCAAAGGAATTTGGGCCAAGTATTTGTCAGGACATTGCCTACATTGGTGGGAACAGTTCTCCAGGTATCAGATAGAGATCTTTCCAAGCCCTCCCTGAAGATCCTGGAGTTTGCTCCAGGGCTCTTCTGCATGCGAATTCTTCACATAGGGCAGCTGTACTCCAGATGTTTGGGACTTGAGTGGCCAATGTTCAGGAATGCTGGCAGTTGTAATCCGAAACATTCTTTCTTAAATGTGCTTTCACTCTAGCAATCTGATATTTGTTTGATTATTTGCTTTATATCCCGCTTTTTTCTTACAAGCTCAGAGTGGCTTACCTCATTCTCTTCCTGGTGCTCTCAGTCTTACTGCCACAACAACAACCCTGTGAGGTAGGTTGGACTGAGAGTCTGTGACTGACCGGAAGTCATCCAGTTGGCTCCATGGCTGAGGGGGAACTCGAACCCAGATCACTCAGGTCCCGGTTCCATGCTCTTCACCACTACGTCACACCACTGAATAAAAATGGTGGGATCCCAGATCTGAGGCCATTTCCCTGAGATGATTATGAAAGAGAACCTTTTGTGTCCCTAGTCTCCTCATTGGAAAACACGTCCAGTATGGACCACGTCTGTAACCATTGCAAAGGCTGAGGCAGTGATTTGTGATCCCAAAGACGCTGTGTGGGTAAAGAAGGGGAGAGAATTGGGTGGCAGAGAAAAGGGGGATGGGGTGCCTCGGGGGTGGAGGCTCCTTTGCTTTCCATGCGGAGTATAGCGAGGGCTCTTTGCCTCCTTCCAGCTTGGCGTAGGAACAGGTGGGATGGCACCCCATCTGCCCTCCCCCGCCATGCCCAGTGTAGAAATGTGGGTTGCTGGAGGGACGGAAAACTTACGTCATTGCTGTGACAGCCTACTCATCTACGCACACTTTTGTGTTGCCTGCGGTGACCAGAAAAGTGGTCAAAAACAGTGTTGAACTACCCAGTATTCACTCCTTTCAGTCACTTTTTTAAAATGAGTAACTTAAAAGTGCGCACGCAATGGGGCATGGAGTGGACTTAGCTTAGGATGGCGCAACTCTCTGTTTCACTGTGCGAGGGCGATTGTTCCGACCGTAGTGAAAGACCTGGACAGGAGTGAATCCTGTTCACTGAGGGAAGAGTGTTGGGAGCAGGGAGAGACGGTCAGTGGCGAACCTTCATGCATAACCCAGATAGCTTGTATTCTTGGGTGGCCGACCTGTAAGCTGGTGCGTCGCGCTGGCTGGCATGGCCTGGGTGAAGACTGCAGCCACTGGTGCCCCTGGGTCCTTGCCCCGTGCCGATCGGTGCTGGTTGTGGTTTCTGGTTATATGCGGGAAACAGTAAGACGGAAAAGCAGCTGTGGTGCAGGTGGAGGGTTCCCGTTTGGCATTCCTCTGCCCCAGCACTTGAGCTGGACCTGGTGGATATGTGCTGGCTCCTCGTATCAGAGGCAGTTGCTGAGGAATCTGGGCACAGGGGCACTGTTGCACGCCTGTCTGCAGTGAAGACACAACTTGACCCCTGGGTCTGATCTAGCACGGCTGTTCTTAGCTTTCTCGTATTCGCAAAGTGTGCAGAGACCTCTTTGCATTTGGTCCTTCCCCCCCCCCCCAAAAAAAAAAAAAAAACTGAGGGCCACAGCAAGCAGAGGTCAAACAATGAATTCCAGAGCTGCTGTTGGGTTATGGTTATTTGAATTTTCAAATGTAAGAATGGAGGCCATTATTTAAAATATAACGCAAGAAATAGCCTTGAGACCTGTGAAATGGGCCACCCCATCCAGTGTGGGATGGAGCTTCCCTGTGCCAAGGAAGTGAGATGCCAGTAAACAATACGTGTTGCAGACTGCACAGCGATTGGACCCAGCCATGGCAATAGCCATCTGTGTCTCTTTGCACACCCAAGTTAAACTCCTTCAAATGTGAACATAGTTTGGTATATTTTGCTTAGTTAATTGCTAGCTCTAAAGCATCTTCACTGTCAAAGTGCCATTTATGTCAAATGTCTCCCCTTTTTGTTGCTTTGATTATATGTGAATTAAACTGTTTTAACAAAAGTATAACACCTGGAATCACAGTTTTAGATCTGTCTAACATTCTCTCAATATTGCCTGACTTTTTCTTCCAGTGGGGAAGACTTCTTTGATCACCAGATTTATGTATGACAGCTTTGACAACACCTACCAGGTAAGATGCTATACATTTCATGAGCTCCAAATGTTCACTCATATGGTGCAGACATTCTGCCAAATGGCCTTCCAGAGAGACCTGATCGTTTTAACGTTGCAGAGCCAGGGGACTGTGGCTCTTCCCTTAGTTGTAAAAGTAAAATTAAAGTATCAGACATCTCTTGAAAGCACCCAAAAATTCAAAATGCATTAGCTGCTGTACTGACTACCATATAAAGTGAGAGACGATTCCCCTTGCGTATTTTTTTCTCAGGAGCTTCTGCCTCCCTAGTTTCGCTGTGATAAGCAGCACAGAACACATAACTTCAGGATGTGTGGCCAGTTTGCTAAGCATTTGGGCTGTATAGAAATGGAAGTTCATTGCCATCCTCTCCTTGAAAGTAATGAGCATGTGCCATTTTGCTAATCAGAAATGTATAGTAGGTTGTTCCGCAATGTAAAGGGATGTCCTTTGTTAATTGTGAGCTAAACTTGGAAAGAACAGAGTGCCGTAGAATCATAGATAGCAGCATTGGAAGGGGCCAAGAAGGCCATCGGGCCCAGGTCACCCGTTTATGAGAAGCATCAGCCCGTCAGTGCATTACTGAGGTGCAAGTGATGACCTGCTGTAGTCTTGAGGTGGAACCAGGTGATTCCAGCAGCATTCGATTGCACTGCGCTTGACTGGGGGCGGGGGGTGTCCTTCCTTTTGAGGTTTCTTCCTCCGGCCGGCTGGAGCTGGAGGTCAGACTAGATGGCCTGTGAGGCCCCTTCTGACTCGCTCTGTTTCTATGTTCTGGCTTATCACTGTATGCTATCAAAAACTTCAGTTCCTTGGTAGTCCAGCTCCTTTGATGAAAAAACTATGCATGGACTTGAAGCTTTCCTTTCAGAAAGCTTTGTGGGGTGAGGGGGATGTAATGCATGGATGGATGGATGGATGTCTAGCTGTTTTCTTTTACTATATTGTATAGTAATTGCGGGGTGGGGGGTGGGGGATTTTCCAGAGTTACAGGGAAGTCTCTAGGGTTGCTTTTTCACTGGCATATTTTTGCTCTTGGGACTGAGTGCACTTTATAGAGTGAGGTTATATTGTGCCCGCTAAGACTGAAGCTCTTTAGGTAAATCTGGCACCTAGGAGTGTGAGTTGGGAAGGCACTGGCAAAGTAGCCACACATCCTGAAGTTAAGTGTTCCTGCTAGCTACTTCTCCAGAGACTTCCAGGCAGTCAGGGGCAGTCTGCATAATTCTCAGAGAGAGAGACTACATTGCACTCTTCATTAAAGGAATGCTGGAATAGGTTTCCTGCTTCGAATCATCTAAAAGGATTGTCTGCCTATTTCCCTCCAGTTAAGAATGTGGCCCTTCCACCACCTGAGCAGTGCTTGATCCAATAGCCAGATAGAAATTCCTGTTGCGTCAGCAGAATCAGCGAAACTTTTGTGAAGCAGGATGGCCCAAATAAGCCTTAAGCCTCCCAGCGGAACAAACGACCATTCTGGTTCCACCTGTTGCAATTACAGAATTGTTAGAGCAGTTCTTTTATGTAATCATCTGTCTTTCTCATGGTCCTCTTTTTCTCTGTGGAATGTGTGCCCTAGTTTTTTCCTGGAACTTTGGCCCTCAAAGTGCTTTATAATCATATGGATGTGTCCATGGGTAGGAAGCCTAATGGAATGAGCTAAGCAGTTTCAGAGCAAGCAACTAAACTCTCTGAGCAGTGAAACGCCTTTTGTGGGATGGGGGTCGGAGTGGGGGTGGACTGGACAGACCTATTCTGTCCTTCAGGTTGTGATTTCTCACAATACTTGTCCCCTAATTGCACCTGCCTCTTCTGTACCCTAGTTATATGCCATGTTGCATTAGCAGGGCTCTCTCCCTTCCTTTCTCTGTATATGGCCAGGAAAAACACATTAGGGTTATTTTGCCTCTGTGCCCCATTTCTTTAATAGAAGTGGGGAAAGAGGAGGGAAGGGAGGCAAGCAGGAGTCGTGGCCTTTCCCACCTGGGACACATGCTGGCTTTCCCTATTTGTCTGGTGCAGCTGTTGACATTACCCTGTATGAACGTGGTTGAAGTGCTTTGCAGATATAATAAGTAAGTCCTTGTCTCCTTTCTACCAAAGGTTTTTGGCAAGTGGGAAACAAACCACCTCAGTACAAGGGGAACTGCGTTTGCATGCTCAGAATGATTTGCACAAATGTCTGCTGAATATGCATTGTTTGGGAATTTGCATGGTTTGGAAGAAGCTTGCGCCACTTCCGGGTGCAAGTCTTGTAGCAATTACTTTGTCAAGGGTGTAGGGTGAAACAGGCCAACATTAGTGTTGAGGATGTTGGAAAATGGCAGCCTTGGGAAGCAATTAAGAAACAGTGTAGTAGATTTTGCACTGGCCCCTGGTTCTGAGACGTCACCACATGCAACATGTTCCCAACCATACAGGTTGAACTTTGAAATGGCAGATGGGGCTCTAGTAATGACAGGATGTTGAGCTTTCCGAGCTAGCCCACTTTGGGATAATTAGTCTCAGCCACCTACATTCATTAGGCACAACCTCATTTGGCAGAGTTGTCCTTTCTCCCATCCTAGCATGACATCTCCCTTCCTCAGTAAGACTTTCTGCTTTTTAGTTACACACAGGTGTGAGCTGCAGAGACCAGAAAGGACAGAGAGGTTGTTTGTCTGTAACTGCTGCTATTTGCGTGGTCATCTGTGAACTCTCAAAGGCTTTCATATTTTGTTCTTTTTGATTTCTTCTGTGGCAAACTCAAAACTGAGAGGCAAGCAGGCACTGTCTGGAGCAGGCACACCTCCCGCCTAATGCTGTGTTTAGATCTAGAATGTTCTGTGCGATATCGTTGACCATACGCATGAGTTCACAGAAGTTCCTTGAACTACAGCAGTTTTTTCTTGTCCATCACTATAAAAGAATTAGAGCACTTATATTTGCTGTTTGTGGAAAATACGGAGTTGCTAGCTGCTGTTTAGGACTTCAGCTGTTGCCTGTCAGTTATCGATAAGCTTTTTTCAGGAGAGTAGCAGTGAGATAGACTTGGAAATCCATGCAGCATTTCCTACTGGTTCTGAGAAAAAATGAAGGGGATGAAATTATATGCCTGGCAAAAATATGCTGCTCACATAGCACAGAGTAAAAATGGGTTCTATGAGCATTCAGGGAGTGCAGGTAATTTTATATTCTAATTTTTCCATTTTATGTATGAATCACAGCATGCTCATTCCAGAATAAAGTCCAAACTCTGCTGCTTTGGCAGGCATTGTAGTGTCTGTTTAGCAAGCAAGATAATGCATGCAGAGTTACAGTATTTTGGCTACCTTGCACTCTTTGAGTAAAGCTGCCTCTTTGCTTGCTTAACTTCAAACACACAGAACAGGGACAGAATGGGACGCTACACTGTCTGGTGACCAGTGCAAACCCTTGAGACTTGTTAAGTTTGTGGTTTAGATGCAACCACGTTGTTGACTGGAGCAGCTACTCAGCTGCATATAGCACAGATTTGGTGAAGAAGTCGAGTTTTGCATGTGACCAGGATCCTTTTCAGCATAAGATAGCATACCATTGGCTAGAAATGACCTCTGCGTTGGCTTAACAGACGTGCATACAGGAAGCAGGATCCACCCTGAAATCCTTAAATGGAACACCCATTGTTGCTGGAGATGGGAAGTGTTAAATAACTTTCTAATAATCAGCTATCCCATCAGCTGTACCATAAGGCAAATCTGCTTGCAGTTTTCCTTCTTCTCTAACCCTCACAATAACACAGCAGGTTGTATGCAGATAAGATGCTGAGCTGATCCCTCAGTGTAGGACTCTTCCAAAGGAAATATCCAGTCCTTTCTAGCGTTGTCTGCTGCTTCTTGGAATACCCCGTGGGCTTTTGTGTTGGATCTGCTTCCAGAAGGATCTGGGCAGGCTCTGGAATTGGGTGGGGGGCAACAGAATGACATTCAGTGTGGACAACTGCAAGCTCTTGCACCTGGGACACAGGAATAGGAGCACTTACGAAAGGGATCTCAGGTATTTGCCAACAGCAGGCTGAACATGAGCCAGCAGTGTGAAGTGGTGGTCAAGAAGGCAAACACCATCCTTGGATTTATGTCCAGAAGCATGGCTTCCAGATCCAGGGAGATGTTGATACCGCTCTGCATGACTCTGGTGTGCCCACAGCTGGAGCATTAAGTCCATCTCTGGGCTCCACATGATAGGAGAGACATGGCTACATTAGAATTGGTTCAGTGCAGGGTCACAAGAATGGTAGCCGGGTTGGGAGGGATGACATATGAGGAGAGATTAAAGGAACTGGGTCTGAACTGAAGGAACTGAACTGAAGGAAATTAGGAGGGTAAGTACCCGGAGGAGGGCTTTCTCTGCGGTGGCGCCCAAGCTATGGAATGCGCTCCCCAGAGAGGTCCGCCTGGCGCCGTTGTTATTTGTTTTTCGACGCCAGGCAAAGGCTTTTTTATTCAAACGTTATTTTAATTGTTAATATTATTTATTTATTTTATTCTTTGGCCGGGGCAACTTAATTTATATTGTTTTATAGGATTCTATTTATTTATGGTTGTGAGCCGCCCCGAGGCTTCGGCGAATGGGGTGGCATAGAAGTTCCCTAAGTAAATAAAAATAAAAAAATAAAATTTTCAGCCTGAAAAATCCAAAGATCCAAGGGGATCTTTTAACAACTTTTAGGTAAGTGAGCGCTGTGAGCTGTTCTTCCCTGCAGTGGAGGGCAGGACGTGTTACAGTGGGGCAAAGCTCGAGGAAAAAGGGTTCAGTTTGGATGTCAGGAAGTGCTTCCTAACGGTGAGGACCCCTAGGATATGGAATGGGCTTCCATGGGAGGTGGTGGAGGCCCCATCAGTGAGGGTGTTCAAGGAAAGACAGGACAACCACATGATGGGGATTGCATGATTGGAGCCGGCTGGAGCTGGGGGCTAGACCAAATGGCCTGGGAGGCCCCTTCAGACTCGCTTTGCTTCTGTTTTTCTAAGTACCGCACAAAACGTGTGTTTCATGCATCTGTAAGGATGAAACTCTAGGCACAGCAATGTGCTTGCCAAGGCCTTGGAAAGTGAAAAGGCAGGTATGATTTTTTTATTTTTCGGGCCAGGTCAACTCATATTATATTGTTTTATACTGTTCTTATTTATTTATTATTGTGAGCTGCCCCGAGGCTTCGGCGAATGGGGCGGCATAGAAGTCAAACAAACAAATAAATAAGATTTTGCCAAATGGTCTTCTAAGTAAGTAAGTAAGTAAGAAAGAAAGAAAGAAAGAAAGAAAGATTGATTTTGCCTAATGCAATGGGCAAAATCTTCAGGGTCACTCCACTTTTTGAACCTTTTCGGCTGTTCTATGCTTTCTCTCTGTCGCGCATGTGCACTGTATGAAAATCTCTTGGAGAGCAGGTTTTTTGTATGAAGTTCTAGTAGCTCCTAGCAGAGGTCAACTTTTGCTGCTTATGTTAACGGTTGTGTCCATAGAGATTCATTGTTGATCACATACTTGAGATCTAAAAGGAGTTTTGCTGATGACTATAATGTTACATTTAATGTTGCATTTAAGTAGATCCAACACTGTATCTGAGGTGCTTTGTGCTATTTTCATTGTTAACCTACAGCAGAGCAGCTCTCTCGTTCTGGAAACAACTACCTGGAGAAGGGATCTGCACTCCCTTTTTTACTCACCAGTGGAAACTTTGTTTTGCAGGCAACAATTGGCATTGACTTCTTATCCAAAACCATGTACTTGGAAGATCGCACAGTGAGTAAGAATTTTGTGGTAACTAGCTAGTACTCTCGTACGAAGAGTGTGGATCACTGTCTTAAGTAGGACACAGTATGCAACTGCTAGAGCAGCCTCGGCCTCCAGGTGAGACCAGCTGAGGCTGCCGCCGCCAGGTATCCAGCAAGCCGTAGTGGGGGGGAGGGGGTTGCCTCTCTGACATCGCCCGTGCAAACCTTTGCGCAGAGCCATGCGGCCTGCCACCGCTGGCTTGAGAAACATCGAATTCGGCACACACTGTATGGCAGACTCTGTGAATTCAGAAACCCAGATCTTAATGGAACGTGCTGAGAAGACATTTTTGACTGAATTGGGGGTTTTACTAGCACTGCAGAGACACTAAATTAAACTAGCAATTTACTGAGTGAGTGAAAGCTGTCTCAATGTTGTAGTACAACAGAGATGCAAAATGTCATATCTTTTTATTGTACAGCATGTTCCCAAGCTAGAAGAATGCAGACTTGTGTGATGCAGATCATTCAGTGGGCAGAAAGGAAAGCATATCCTCTGCTTTGCTTCTATTTATCTCCCATACATAAAGGGCTTTTCAGCCCAAACTCTCCCCACAATTTCCAAAGCATGAGCCAATAGCACAACAGTTAAATGTCACGCCGGATCCAGGGGCCCACCTTAGCTCACATTGGTCCTGCTCTTTTACTAAGAAAAGCTGGTCCAGTTAAAACCTCCTTTCAAATTCCCAAGGTTGTCTGTTTCTGGCCTATGCATTCATTGCACAACACATTAAGTAGTGAAGGATATATTATCCTTTTTTATCGCTGCACATTCCACCTCTCCCGTGTTGGAGCTCAGGGTGACAGACAGAGTTCCCAGGCCATCTAGGCCCAGACAGGGACCAGATCCAGAGCTGCTGGGCTTCAGCAAGCCTGCTGCACTGTATGCCTTCAATCCATCCTCTTTTCCAGTTGGAGCCAGGGCAGATGTTACCCAAAGGAACTCACCTGGCATTCCCAAGTTAAAATCCAGCATGTTAGCTACTTACTCCAAGATATTCTCTGCCCTCTAATGTGGTCCCCGTCCTTACCAGGCTTATATATTAATACACATATCAGCAGAAACCACGTTCATGGAATCCAGTGAAAGATGCCCTTCTAGGGTCTGTGCCTAGCCCCTGATGAGCCAGTGGTAACTCTCTCTCTGCTCCCAGCCCTCACGTGGCCGCTGGTGGGAGTCTAGTCTGATCACTGCCATTTCTGAATTCACATTAAGAGTGACTGCACCCCACCCTGTCATGAGTGCCGATTTGGTTTTCCCTTTTTGTTTGTTCATTTAAATTGAAATTCTCTTTGGGCCATGGCTGTCGGCTACCAGTTCGCTTTGTGGATAAAGCACACTGGTCTCCAGTCTGCTCATTGTAGCCGCCACTGGTTTCTCTGGAAAGATCAGGTATACTCTGATTTTTCAGCCCTTGCACCTTTGTGCCTGTGGGGCCCTTCTAGGGAGGGATGCCTCTGAATTCCCCAAGCAAGCCGCAACTGGGCGTGCCAAATACTGCCTGTGAAAGAAACAGCCAGGTTGGCACTGCCTTCAGTATTCCTTGTCCTGCCCTCCACAGACTCTCCTTCAGCCACAGAAAAGCCCCAGCTGCCTGCTTCCGCTTGCAACCTCAGAGCAGTTCCCTCCATGCATGAGTCTTATCATTTTTACTTGGCTTTTTTACTTTAAAAAAGCAATCAGTTTGATTCATTTTCAGGGGCAGTTCGGCTTTTTTTTTAAATGTTCTCCCATCCCACAGATCAGGTTGCAGCTGTGGGATACTGCGGGTCAGGAACGTTTCCGTAGCCTCATTCCCAGTTACATCCGTGACTCTGCTGCCGCTGTAGTAGTTTACGATATCACAAGTAGGTATATTTTGCTCTGCCTTTGACGCTTTGTTTTTTTCTTGCTTGTTTTGACTGATTTCCGTTAGGTACGGTTGCAATTATGGGACACAGCAGGTCAAGAGCGATTCAGGAGCTTGATTCCTAGCTACATTCGTGACTCCACTGTTGCAGTTGTTGTTTATGATATCACAAGTGAGTGGGGGGGAACTTCTGCCTTCCTGGGACTCTGTTCTGCCCCCCTTCCTCTGTCCCTCTCAGCCCCTTCTTCATCTTCAAGCCTAGCTGTGCATGCTGTACCCACAGTCATCTGCTTGTACCTCATTCTGGCATGAAAAGTGTTCCTTGTCGGGTGCTCCAGGTGGGAGGCTGCTTTGTTTCAGATGTCTTTCATCTAGAAACATGTTTTGAATTTGCTTCACAAGAGCTGAAACCTAGAGCTGGCCAGGGCTGCACCTGCAACCTGAAAAGCATTTCTTAAGATCGTGTGCAGAAAGCATTTCTTCACCTCTGATTAGGCAAAATTCAGCTTCACACTGGGGACTTGGAAGACGACCTCTAGGTTGAAAGCTAAGGTTTTGCAGGTTTGATCCCTGGCATCTATGATTTCCTAAATTCAAGCGCCATCTGTATCCTCTTGAGCAAGCCACGAAGATTTTGCCCAGAGGTGTGCCTGGATTTGCTCCCTTGAAGCAAAATCTCTATGCTTTTTCTCTTGCATTTTTCACTTCTTCCCCATCCCCTCTCTCACAAGTGTGTGTTCAGAACTCCTGAAAACGCACCACCCGTCTTAGTTCATCTGCTGTTCTGTGGGTGTCGCTGTCATGTGTTCGGCTTTTTCTGCAAACGGGGATCCCCAAAGTGAGCATCTTTGCTGAAGTCACCTGCTGCTTTTCCCTCTTGCGCCTAAGAGCTGGGCGTGAGCTCCAAGAATTGTAACATTATTCTTTCATATGTCACAAGAACATCTTTTCTCCTAATTAGTTTTGTTCTTTCATTTCCTGTGAAGGTATGTACATTTTTAAGACATAAACTTAAGATTCTTCATCTCCCTCTGAAAGACAATTGAAAATACTAGCAAGCATTTTAAAACCTAACTTTTCAGTTGCAAGGAAGTTAAACTTTAAAAAAACCCCTTCGTTTCAAATCACCTTGTATTGCATAATTGAAAAGAATTAGGAAAAGGATTGCATGCAAATTCATAAGAGTTGCTATTTAAGCATAAAGGCCTGAAAAATTAAGGTCTTTCCTGTAAAATGAAGATTTTTTTTACCAGTTTGGCTTAGCCTCAGTGGACATGACCTTTAAGTTCTTTACTTTCTGATGAATTCAGTGTCCTGAGGCATGAACATAAAACCTTTTGTTTATTAAGAGACTGGCAAGTGAACTGTGTCTGTGTGTGTCCTTTTCAAATTGAAGATGTATGTTTCATGCTCCGCATTTGCCACGAGACCCAGCCCATTTCTGCTTTTGTGCAACCTTATGCTGATGTTACACCAGCTTTGTGTTGTCTTTGACAAGTGCCAGGGAGGAGGTGGACAGCAGTGGGAAAGATGGAGTCCAGCGAGTCAAGACTCAATTCAGGCAAGAGAGAGAGGGCACTGTTGGTTAGTGGAGAAAGCTAATTAGAGATTCGGGGTGCAGCCTCTTCCAGGTGGGGTTGCTCTTCCTCTAGAGCAGAAGAGTGGTGCAGCTTGCGACCTGTGGGCTGCATGCAGCCCCCAAGGCCTTGTTCTGTGGTCTTCTTGCTGCTCAGAGCCCCCCCGCCCCCCCAGTCTGGATTCATGTGATGGCATGGGCGTGATTGTGCTGAGCTCTCCTGAGGCTGCTGTCCCGTTCCACTTTCTTTCTGAGGCTCAGGAAGAGAGCGGGTCAAGCTGGTGGACTCGTGAGAGCTTGGCCCACGCTGCTCCCTCTGACAATGCAAAGACACCCCAGAGCCTTTGCGCTTGTCAGCAGGGTTGGGCAGGGCGTGCTGGCGAGAGTCGGTCAGCTTAAACACAAGAGGCTCAGCATGCCAATTCCAAGAAGGAGGGAGGGGCCAGGGGTCACACGGGAGGGTTTCTGGGCAGAAGGAGCAGGAAAGAGAGGGATGGGCCACCCTGGGGGAGTGGCCAGAGAATGTATTTCATTGTGTGGCCCCCAGGTTCTGTGTTGAAATTCTCCTGCGTCCCTCGTGGTACGAAAAGTTGGGCCACCCTGCTCTAGAGGACCCATTCCAAAGCTCGGGTGCTTCTGAACCCAGCATTGGTCCCACAAGGGTGTGCCCATTGTCCCCCCACTCTTTGGAGAAGTCAGCTCTGGCTGCAGAGATCCATGCCTTCATCACCCCTTGCTCGGAGTACACAACACCCGTGACATGAGCCTGTCCTGAAGAGTGCTAGGTTGGTACAACTGGCACAAGATGTGTTGGCCAGATTGTTTCCAGCACTTGCTCTGACTTGGCTGCCGTGGTCTTGGATCAGCTGCTCTGGCTTTCGGTTTCTTTTTGGGTGTACTTTGAGGTGGTGGCTTTTGCCTATAAAACTCTGAATGGTTTTGTGGCAGGATATCTAACAGACCACCTCCTCATAGATGACCTTGCCCTGCAGCTGTGTGCACCACCAAGAGAAACACGATTCCTCTCTGCTGTGGCCACACTTACTCATGAAATGCTTTCCCTACCAAGGTTAAAATCTTTTAGATCAACATGGCTTCTGAATTATTTCTAATTTACTTTAATTTTCCCTGAACTGAATCTATTTGTGATATTCTTTAAATAATTAAATTGTAAGTTGCCTTGCGGGGCCCTTTTTTAGTGTGGAAGGGGACTCATACATCTTATAAATACTTACCTGCCAGGTGAACTTATCTGCTAAAGTTTAGGCAAACAGTTAGCCTCTGACAACCTGCTTCAGGGGCACGCCACTGTTGACTCGTAGCAGAAACCCCTTCAGCAGATCATGCCTGTCTTGCTCACAAGTAGGGATGGACTGAATTCTTGCACTTCACACGCAGCCAACCTGCCCTGAAACCTTGTCAAGAATCGTTCTGCCGAGATGCTGCTCCTGCCGAGAATGCACTCTTTCCAGCATCGCTCTTTCTTGCACTTTAATTGGTGCTTGCAAGCTTTTTATTTCTTCAAGCTGCCTTGGTCACCACTTCTTAGTGGAAAAGTGGGATAAGGAAACGCCAAATGTGCCATCCCCAGTGAAACCTGATGGGATTGAGCCCATGTGCACATCACAAGTTCAGCCTTTACCTTACTGCCACTCAGGTGCACCTGTCATTATGTGCAAGTATGATGCTTGACCCCACTCTCCAAAATAATAATAATAATAATCCCTGAAAACTTTTTTGGCAGGGGGAGTAGAGAAGATTTCAGTTAAATCTTGAGGGAAAACAGTTACTGAAATATTTTTGCTTTGCTCACAGCCGTGCTTCATTTTCTAGTAATTGTGTCACTGTTATTCCACAGAGATACTCTTTAAGAAGAGTAGATTTCTTTCAAACTGTTGTGCTCCATGAAGAGCCTTCTATTTTAGTGAGCCATAGCTTATGCAACAATTAAGGGGAAGGAAGGTGGGATTGTGCTGTTTAGTCTGGTGGGTTTCCCTGTGGGGATATGTGCTGTTTCCATACCAATGTCAGCCTAGTTCACGATTGCCTGCCAGGGCTGCGGCCCACCCCTTTGCTGAGAAGCTCCTCCCAAGACAAGCCAGAACTTTGCTAAGCTTGCCGCACAGATGACTGTCACGGAAGACTTGGAGCAACTCGCACAAATGCTCTGACTACAATGCGGATATTGTAAGCCTCGTTCTGTAAGCTGACCTTCTCCTTTTTGTCTGCCTTTCCTTCCTAGATGTAAACTCATTCCAGCAAACCACAAAGTGGATTGATGATGTCAGAACGGAAAGAGGTAGTGATGTCATCATAATGCTAGTTGGAAACAAAACAGATCTAGCAGATAAGAGGTAATGCAATTCATTTCTTGCCTTTGTGGCCATGCCAAGCATATTTTATTAGAAAGACTACTCTGTGCTCCAGAGCCTAAGACCTGGCTTCTGAGGGGAAAGGAGGATGGTGCAAGGGGGTCCGTGGCCTGTGCGCATTACTGTGAGAAGAGGCCAGTCACCGGGGTCCTGAGGAAGAGTGTTCCTCTTGTAAACAAGCCAGCCTGCTCTTCCCTAAGTCCCTGGGGATAATGTAGAGGACGGTGACAGCTGCGGTTTTAAAACTTACTTGCTCTTTAGCACGAGAAATGCGTGCTTTCCACATCAACATGTTTGATCTGCTGCCTTGCAAGCAGAGCCGTGGAGTGTTCGTAGAAACGGAGAAACAGAGCGAGCTAGAAGGGGCCTCCCGGGCCATCTAGTCTGACCCCCGGCTCCAGCCGGCTCCGCTCACAACATGCCCACCATGTGCACATCCAGCCTATCCTTGAACACCCGCACTGATGGGGCCTCAACCATCTCCCGTGGAAGCCCATTCCACACCCTCGGGGTCCTGACTGTCAGGAAGTGCTTCCTGGCATCTAAATGGAACCTTGGTTCCCTGAGCTTGGCTCCGTTGGTGAGCTTTGCTCACTTGATGTGTCGTACTTTTCTGTATGCGACTTTCCTCTGAGTGTACAACATAGGCACACCCAGAGTTCCATGGGCTGACTGCTTGCAGCCCTACCCCGCCACTTCTGTCAGAATCTAGAAATTTTCCAGGCCATGGTTGCATATGTTACTCACCTGCTTTGGATGTTAGTGTGCCAAAATGTGCATGTTGGAATGACAATTACTTTGAAAAAATGTCTTTCCCCTCTAACTTTATTAGGAATACATTTTTTGTTATGTGCAGAAAATTTCACCTTGTGCACAGACAGTTCCCTCACTTTAGCAGATGTTCACGTTTGCTGCATCCCTGATTCTTTTTGCCAGCCAGATGTGGCACAGCTACAGTGCCATCTACAATTGCACCATAACCTTTCCATCTGGTACCTTCCAGATTTCTGAGCTGGAGCTCCCAGCATCCCCAGCTACCATGCTCATTGGCCAGTTGATTGTGGTAGAAAGGCATTATAGACCCATCTGTGTGGAAGGCTATGAGACATATCTCAAGAGACACTTCCAGAGTATTAGGAGAGAAATAACTACTCTTCATTCATGAGTAAAAAAAAGTCAAGACTGTGGATAAAAATCAGCAACCACAGAGTTTGCCCTTGAGTTGGATTAGGAAGCTTTCCTGTGAACTTTTCTTTTTAGTAACAAGAAAGTGGCTTCGCTCACCTCCTCATCTACACCGTTCTTCCTTCACTGGCATGATATCCTTTCCCCTGCCTCCCCAAAGGTTCTTGGTCTCTGGAAGTGTATTTGGTTGCCCACCACCTTGTATGCTTGGAACCCTCTTGTAGAAAAGCTCTATGATACTCCTGGGTCCTGACTCCCAATGCTGGTGCAGCACCTCCCTCTTCATTGCAGCCTTTAGCATAGCACCGCTTTCTGAAATATGCACGACTCGTTACCTGTATCCTCCTCCACAAAATGTGTGCATTTCAGGGCCCTGTCTCCCTCGCTTACTGCTTTGTATAGCACTCCATTCACCGTAGGGCTATAAACATACCAACCCCTGCTAATAAACAGAGTCTGCCTGGCATCCATGAGAACGTGGCCTTTAGGAGTGCTTCTGAAGTGTGTGTGTGTGTGTGTGTGTGTGTGTGGGAGCAGGGATGGCAGGTACCGGGGGGGGGGGGGGGCAGCCAAGATTGCAGGTGCTTGAAATGCTACCCTATTCAACGTGCTCCTTTTTTCTCCAGGCAAGTCTCTATCGAGGAAGGCGAGAGGAAAGCCAAAGAGCTGAATGTAATGTTTATTGAAACTAGCGCAAAGGCAGGGTACAACGTAAAACAGGTAGGTCTCTGTAAACTGCCCAGAGATCTCTGGCCACTGGGAAATACAGAAGCGTAATCGATGTCAAAGACGACAAGTTAGCATCTCCAAGATGAGGTGTTTCCAAATCTGGGCACAGCACAATAAGTTGGATTGATGTGCTCGCTTTTGGTTTGAGCTCAAATGGTTTGGGTTGGTTCATTCATTCTGGTTTTGTTTTTTGTTTTGTTTTTTTGTTTTTTGCTTATGTGTCCGTGTAGTTGGACACATGGAGAATTTGTTCATGAAATGGCTAGTTAACCGATGATAATACCATCAAATAGTCCTTTTCACCTGTGCTACATTGGGATCATGTGAGCCCATATCCTTGAAAAAGTTTAACGCATCTTATAATCTGGCCCTTAAATCTGTAGACTGGGATCAGTGTTGGAGAATATAAGATTGCATCGTTTTAGTGTCTCTAGCCACATCCACCCCTGCTGTGTAAGAAGCAGAAACAGGTAGGATGTGGGACCAGGTGGTCAAGGTGGGCAACAGAATGCAGAGCTAGGTTGGCCCAGCTCATAATGAAAGGCTAGTATACATCCGTAAACATGTTTTCTCTCAGGAATAGCGTGTGAATTCTTTCGCCTTAAAAAGAAAGACCTTCCCTTCCTTGCTGCGCACCCCCTGCTGTTGCCCGCCTTCACTTGACGGGAAGCAGGAGTGCTCACTCAGGGTGTTCCAGAGAGGACTGCAGCGACACTGACGTCGTGCGCGTCCTCCTTGCTCTTTCACGTAGCACAGCAGGTGTGTCTAGTGTGCTTGTGCCGTGGGGCTTGAAGGACAACTGCAGAACCATCCCCTTAAAAGGGGGGTGAGGATGGAAGACACCCCGAGGAGTCGCAGCCAGTAGCTGTGCTCAGTGCACAACCGCACTGCAGATGCACCTGCCACAGAAGCCGTGAAGCGGCCCCTCGCGAAGAATAAAGCGGTGAAGGGCCAGGAGCAGCGAACACGGGGCCCTTCTGACTATCAGCGCTTCAAGAGCTGCCCCAGAGCAAGATGGAGCACTTCCCCCTAGAAAGCAGTGCAGAGGACTCTGGCCTCTCCTCACCTGCTTGCGGCGGACACGGCGCTTCCTGTGCTGCTTTGGTACAAGCAGCAGCGATCAGAGTGCAAGCGAGGCGTGTCCCGCTGGGTGACCCTTGCGAAAGTTGAAACACTTTGTGCCTTTGTTCAAAGGAATTCTGCCCCGGAGATCCTGCAGGGCAGGCGCTGGCCTAGTTTCGATGCTCCAAAGGAGATTTGTGGCTGCTTTCTCTGTCTCTCCTGGCAGGTGCCATCAGGGTGTGTGTCAGGGGGCAGTACTGTGGCTCTCTGGAGACTGGTGACAATAGAGTTTGTTTTGCAAGATGAGATGTCACGCTTTAACTTAGTTTTATTGATGATGAGGATGGGTCCTCTGCCCGCTTCACTGGAGTAGAATGTCTCTCATTTGACAACTTGCAAGTGGTTCCTGGCCATACAGACCGTAGGGTGAGCTTCCTGCCCGTGTGTGCAAACCATTTCCAGTGCATTGTGCTGCCAAAACACCAGGCTGAGGCAAAGGGGAAGGGTGCCGTTACCCGTCGGAGGGTCTGTACAAGGAGCTGGATCAGACGCAGGTCCCTGGGAGGGTTCCTGTGCTCCAGGAGCATCAGCCACCTAACACAAAGACCGGTGCTGCAGCACATGGGAGGTGGGAACTCAGAGATGCTGCTGATCTCCTTCCACATGCCACGAAAAGAAGCGTCAAAGCACCGAACGAGGCTTTGGATGGCTTGTGTTCTGTTAGCGCTTCTATGTAGGCCCTCGCAGAGCTGACAAAGCCCTGTGCTTTCCTTCCCTCCTGGGCCAGCGCAGCTTGCTTCCCACTCCCATCCTTTCTGCTTCCCCAAAATAAAAATCTTAATATACCTTTGCTGAAGCAAAGATCCAACCATTGGTGGGTGCTTGTTAAAACAATGCCTGGGTAAAAAGAAAATGATTACCTAGGATCTGCCCAATTCTTTCTTTTTATCTGTGGTAGGAGATGGCATTGCCTGCAAAGCAGGGAAGACGGCGGGGATTGGGTTTATTTGTCCGTGTCATTTCCATGACTGCCCTTTATGGTCAGATTTCGGGGGGGGGGAGCGCTGGCAAACCTGACTCCCCACCACCACCTGTTCCCACCCTGGGGGAAGCCATCTAGTCCAAGGAGGCAGTGTGCTGTTCTGGCAGACTCTCGGTGTTCGCCGCTCGTGCAGTGCAGTAATGCGAGCTTGACTCGTGCTCTGTGGGGATGAAAGGAGCTCCTAGGTGCCACGGCCAGATGCTTTTAGAAGGCCACGTGCAGGTATGTGGCCACAGGCCCCAAGCAGGAAGGCAGTTCATCCTCCGTGGAGTCTCCGAGGACGGGTGCAGGCCCTGAAGCGAGACTGTTGCCACTTTCTGAGGAGGCGCCATCCAGTTGGGGTGCTGGAGAGTCATGACAAATGCCAGTCCCCTCAGCACCGGCCGGTTCCTGTTGCAACGCTTCAACTGAGCGCTTGTGGTATTTGCCAGCTTAGGGGAGCCAATTTGGTCTAACGCGCTGGGCGTGGAGCCCACCTCCCCCTGTGAAGGCCCCCTTCCAGGCCGGCCGCCTTCGGTGAATACATCCTCCTCCGGGAGCATTGATCAGACAGCAGGCCTGGGTGGTGAGCCCTCCGTGCAGAATCTGCCCGTGCAGGAATCTCTCCTTTACACCCCGTTCCGCTTCTCTGCGAGGAGGCTTGGACCTCAGGGGGGCTGGGCGGGCGGGAGGCGTGGTCGGGAAGCGGCAATACAAAGGGGGTGTGTTGGGGGGGGGCAGTAAGGCTTAGCCAAGTCTGTGCTTTTTGTGCAGTGGCAAATGGTCAGTCAGCAGCGAACAAGACGGTACCAGACAGTGTTGCATTGTGTGCTGTGGGGCGAAGCCGCAGCGTTGTCGGCCGGCCCCGTGTGCCTCGGCGCTCGGTGAGAATCTGCAGTCCGGGGGGACTGCGTGAAGCGGGCACTGGCAGGGAGGGAGGGAGCGCTGGAGTGCGGATGCCGTAAATTCCCCATACAGCTTTCCAGCTTTTTGTAATGTCTCCCTAATTGGATTTAGTCCCACTTGCTCTGAATGGTAAATCTACTTTATCTTGACTTGCTTCTCAAATCCCCCCTCTTTAGTATCGCCGCTTTGGAGCAGAACCTGGCCCAGGGCATAATTGGGTTCCCGGCTTAAACGTAAAGAAGCGATTACTGCGTTTTTAAATGTCAGTTTCCCTCCACTGGATTTAAATGCAGCAATCCAATTGGTTCCCGTCAAGTGACTGTAACTTTTTAGAGAAACGCTTCACATTTAACTGGGATACTTTCATGTACTGGAGGAAGCAGCAAAGGTGCCGGCAGCTGGTCCAAGGGGCCAGTGAGCGCGCAGCCCCCAAACACACCGAGGGCGTTTGGAGTCGGGGTGGCAACCGATGCGGCGGAAGTGGGCTGAGTGGAGGAGGATGCTGGCCAGCAGGTGTCTGGACGTTTCTAGAGAGAGGGAGACTTTCCAAACTTTGTGAATTTTTGAGGGGAATCGTTTTGTCGTGTGTGTGTTGAATGTAAAACCAAGACAGATGCTCAGCCTCGCACCTTCATTAAAGGCGAGTGTAATTTCATTTAGATGGCATGTGTCTGTTCCCTCCCTTTGGATGCAGGCAAACATGTCCAGATGCTTGGAAAGAACGTACAGGGTTTTTTCTTCCTGTGTTGGCTGGGAGTGCTGCCGGCTATTCCTAAAGCACGGCGCCCCGTCCCCAGACCGGAGCAGTTGATTGCAGTGTGATGTTTTCCTCCCTCCCTGAATTGGTTACTTCATCTCTGATGTGCTTTACCTGGTTTCTCTCCCCCCCCCCTCCAGCTTTTCCGACGTGTGGCTGCTGCCTTGCCTGGCATGGAAAGCACACAGGACAAAAGCAGAGAAGACAGTATCCTTTTGCAGCATATGGCCCAGTTGAAGTTGCTCCTTTTGAATTGGGGTGCGGGAGGGAAGGGAGGTAAAGAGCTGGCACCAAACACAGACAGAACACGGATTACTCAGAAAGGAGACCAGCGCAAGAAGGGGCGGTTCTTGCAAGGGGGCTCCAGGTGGCCGTCAGGGCTTGGGGTGAGCAGCTGCGCTCAAGGTGAAGGACCCAGTGTGTGGACGCGCATGAACACATGGCAGGAAGGACTTGCGGTGTGAATAAAGTTCCCGGCTGGTTCAAGCAGGGGCAGCCCCCCCCCGCCCCGCCGAAGTGCTCACTGGCCTGTTTAGCCCAGAGGGAAACTCCTTGATGCCCTGCACGAAGAGCGACATCAAGCAACCTCTCTCCGGCGAGCTGTCGGAAGGAGATTGATGCGTAGAGAGAGTACGGAGCCCCACTCCCCACTGCTGTCGGAGAAGGTGTCAATACCATCCATTAAGTGATGCCTCCTCTTAGCTGCAGCCGGTCCCAGCTCAGGGAGGGCAGGATGATGCACAGAAATGTTTAGCATGCCATCGAAAGCCAGCTTCAGGGACGTGAGCTCAGCCTCCAGATGCGAGACGACTTCCAAAGCTGCTTGCGGCAAAGGGTTTCTGCATCCTGAGCTCTCCCCTAATGAATCAGTGGACTCAAAAGGCCCTTTCGCTGTGGCAGTTCACTTCGCCCTGCCCTGCCCTGCCCTGCCCTGCCCTGCTCGCCTGGGGCCCCTCGTTTTAGATCAAGCCCTTAATTGTAAATAAGAGCTCCACTCACGGCTCTGTGAAGCATTTGCTCCAGCCGCATGGACGGGGAGCCATTTAGAACAAGCACAGTTTGTTCCCAAAGCTTGGCCACGTGTGTCGTGAGGCCCACAGACCCTCCCCACGTCAGCTCTTTCAGTGGCGCATGAAGACGGACATCAAGTAGCAGAGGGGCAGCACGGAGCACCACTGTTCGGCTTTGGAACAGTGAGAACGGTGGTGAAACGTGGCATGCGTGGCTTCATGGGCTGAATGGTATTCCTGAAGGGCCGCCGTTCTCCTTTCCCTTGGATTAATCAAGAACGAGGCTGCTGAGGAGCGTGGAAGGGGGCCAGGGGGTCGCCGGCCAATTGCTTTGAGTGGAGTGGTACATATTGCCGTCCAAAGGAGTGCAGGGTCATCCGAAATCTCCTCACTGCATCACTGGGTAGTGACCTGTGATGACTGTACCACATGCGCTTTCCGAGTCCCTTCGAAAAACCTCACATGCTTCTGAGACGCGTGCAGTTAAGTGCCAGGCCTCCTTTTCCTTCCTGCTTTTATTTCCCTTGACGCTTGTTTTCCAGTGATTGACATCAAACTTGAAAAGCCTCAAGAGCAGCCAGTCAGCGAAGGGGGCTGTTCGTGCTAATAGCGCGTGGCTTTCCTCTTCCCTTTCTCCAGACCGTCACCGCTTCTTCCGACCTCCCTCCCTCCCCTTCCCTCCCTGACTCATTGACAGCAGTGTAACTTATCGGCTTGTTCCTCTTCCCACCCCGTCCGTAACGTAGCACGGTTCATCATGGCTGCCTGTTTCGTGAAGATGATCTGTTAGCTTCACAAGCACAAAAGAAAGTCGGTGTCTTCGTTATTTATAAGGAAATTTTAAAAAGAGCCAAAACAATCCTAGCATGTTCCAATCATTCTTAAAGAAACAACCAGAAAGAGAGGTACATATTTGCTTTTTAAAAATACTACAATATTGCACTTTTTGAAATATTGGAAATGGGGGTGAAAATGTTTGGATTTGATAGAAAGGGATGTGCAGGGTAGAAATCGCCAGTGCCGAAGGCCAAGTGGTGCGGGATGGCCGTGAGACTTCCGCCTGTCCTTTTGCAAAACCAAAAAAGCCCGCTTTGCCTTTTCAGCCAAGATCCTCTGACCGATTTTCTAAACGGCATTTTAGAAATGCAAAGTTGGCTATTGCATTTTAATTGTTTATTTCCAGTCGTTTATGGTATGGCCAAACAGCTTCTGGGCACCTGTTAATAAGATGCTTTCTGTGGCAGGGAAGAGTTGCGCTCATCCATTCTGCAGAGTGAGGAAACCTCCTTTTCTTCCATGCAGTAGCCCTGTAGAACAAACAAGCTCTCCCTCAGTGCACCTTTTGGCAGTTGCTGTTGGGAAACTCTAAGTGGCCTCTGGCATTAAAGACTATTTACTTAAGCTGAGCCACTTTCCAGAAGGAGGTTCACAAGCTAGCAAACTTTTAAAAATCCAGTAATTAGGAGGAAGAAGGGACAGAGCAGAAGAAGCTATTCTTGAATTTCAGTTGAATTGAGGAAGGAGGCGTTTACTTGTAAAAGTAGATTTTAAAAGTCCTGGAGATGATGAAGGAAGGGAACATAAGATGGAAACAAAACTTAAAATTATGCAGATTTTTGCCTTTCTTTTCAGCATTTTTTATGTTGGGTCTTCATGAGTTCTGTGTACTGGTTGTTTAGTATTACGTTTAACTGAACTACAATTAACTATGGTTTCTTTCGATATTTATTTCTTTGCTTTGTTATTTTTTTTTACTGTGTTGGGTTTTTATTTGTATCTTTTGAGGAATTCTGTTAATCCATTTAGAGTTCCAGTGATGTCACAAGGTGTAGCTATCCAAGGAACAGGCTGAGACAGGGGCACACCCATTCACACACGTACTCTAGAAGGTGCACTCTCTAAATCTGTACTAGTCATTGTGAAGTTGCTGTGTCAGTTAATGCAACTGTAAATACATTGTTTGCAGGAAGAGCATTTGCAGCTGGGGAGGGGTACAACACGGGAAAGCCTTCATGCGTCTCCCCTGTCCAAGCGATAGTTTAAAATGGAGGGGTGGGGGAGTGCTTACCTACGCACCCCCCTCCATTTTGGGGGAACGGCTCCTCCCCATTCATCCCAGCTTTGGATGTGTACATGTGAGGTCTCTCTTTCCCTGCATTGTGCAATTGGAATAGCAAAATGCATTACTTTAACCTGAGTTTCCAATAACTTTGCATATACCAGTAATGTCATGTTAAAGGGCAGACTAAGACATACAAATGCTTTAATGCAATATTGAAGAGGTGGCTTTTTCTTTTCCTTTTCCTTTTTCCTTTTTTCTTTTGGAATTAGCATGTCTAGAAATAAGTGTTTTAAGTATGGCAACAGATGATGATCTTACCCTGAAAAGAAACTAAAGGAGACCAAGCTACTTCTCCTGTATTGTTGTATTCTACGTGTGCAAAAATGAGAAAGTGATCCATCTTGCTGCTTTTTAATATTGAGTTTTCCGTGTCTTGGGTTATTAAGCAATGAAACGTGTACACGGGTTGGATTTTTTAAACATGCACAGAATTTTTTGCTTCCAATAAAGTATCTAATCAAAACACTAAGAACAGACAGCTTTCCTCTCCATTCATTTTGCTCCGCTTCTACACTTGGAATGGGATGTGGCCCAGTCCCCATTCGTAGGCTCGCCTCTTCTGTTCGCGAGGATGGGAGCTGTGGTGGAAAGGTAGAAATCTGAGCGGAGTAGCCAGACCTCCTCGTTGCAGCGCCTGCCTGCCTGCCTGCCTTCATTCTTGGTCCCAAGAATGCTCAGCTCATAGAAACATAGGAACAGAGCGAGTCAGAAGGAGTCTCCTGGGCCATCTAGTCTGACCCCCGGCTCCAGCCAGCTCCGCTCACAACGTGCCCACCATGTGCACGTCCAGCCTGTCCTTGAACACCCGCACCGATGGGGCCTCAACGACCTCTCATGGGAGCCCATTCCACACCCTCGGGGTCCCGACTGTCAGGAAGTGCTTCCTGACATCTAAATGGAACCTTTGTCTCAGCATAGCCGTCTTCATACACGCTTACAGTGAGGTGTACTGTTGCTAAATGTGCAAATAGGGCTGAAAGGATGGGAGGATTGGGATTATTCCTGCTGGCCCCACAGAGGTGCTTCCCCTTCTCTAAAAAAAAGAAGCCGCTCCCTTTGGGCTGGTGAGAAGGGGTGGCCTCTGCTGCTCCCTCCGACGGTCTAATTAATTAATTAATTAATTAATAATCCTTTCCTCCTCCCCTCTGCTCTTGGTGACAAAACTGAGAGAACTCAAGCCTATTCAGATCTCCTTACAACTTAAGGTTCCTGCATACCGTTTGTACTGTTCATGGAGGCAGACTCGTCATCGCTCATTCTGGGCCTTCAGACGCTTGAGTCCTCTCTGTGCGTGTCAGGGACTGTCCGATTCACTTGTACCTGTTCTGCCCTTCCCGATCACCGAGTCTGCGTATTGCGGGAGCCCTGTGCCGCTGGACATCTCCGTAGTGCCATCTGCTGGCTGCTGCTAGAATGAATTCTCTCTCGGCAGGTCCGCTCAGGACAGCAACATGGCGGCATTCCCGCTGTCAGAGGTGCTCACCTGCTGTCATTGGTAAGGAGTACTGGCCCCTGGCTCTTGCTGTGCAACCTCTGATTAGCTAAAGTCACCCAGTTTGGGCCTCTGATTATCCTGCCTTGTACAGAGCTCAGAAATGAGCCCGAGTGATTCGCAGGTGGTGATACTTGACAAAGCAACACAAGCTGATCTGGGCCAGCGTAAAACCAAGCTAAAAGGAGGCACCATACTGTAAACGGAGTCCTTCCCCTGTGCCGGCCTTAGCTGGAACCTGCTGTGCAACCCCTTCTGGTCTCTGGTTGGACATAGAAACATAGAAGCAGAGCGAGTCAGAAGGGGCCTCCCGGGCCATCTAGTCTGACCTCTGGCACCAACCGGCTCCGCTCACGACATGCCCACCACGTGCGCATCCAGCCTATCCTTGAACACCTGCACCGATGGGGCCTCAACGACCCCCCGGGGAAGCCCATTCCACGCCCTCGGGGTCCTGACTGTCAGGAAGTGCTTCCTGGCATCCAACTTGAACCTTGGCTCCCTGAGCTTTGCTCCGTTGGAGCACTTCCTGCCTTCCTCTGCAGGGGAGAACAGGCCTCTGCCCATCTCTGTGTGACACCCCCTCACATACCTGCATGTCGCCAACAGATCCCCTGAGTCTCCTCCACGCTGAAGAGACCCAGTTCCCTCAGTCTCGCCTCATACGGCATCCCCTGCAAACCGGCCATCAACCTTGTGGTCCGACGCTGCACTGACTCCAACCTGACTATATCCCTTCTGTAATGAGGGGCCCAAAATTGAGCACAATACTCCAGTTGCGGGCGCACCAGAGTTGTGTAGAGTGGTAGTAATACCTCTCTTGATCTAGAAGCCACACTTATGGCTATGCAACCAAGGGTGGCGTTCGCCCTCTTGACCACCGTGTCACATGGCTGGCTCATGTTCAGCCTGCAGTCAACCAGCACCCCGAGGTCCCTTTCACAAGCGCTGCTCTCCAGCCACTTGTCCCCTAACCTGTACTTATGACAGCTATTCCTATGCCCCAAGTGCAAGACCTTGCACTTATCTGCATTGAACGTCATCCTGTTGTCTCCTGCCCACTTCCATAGTCTGTCCAGATCCTTTTGGATCTGGAGTACCTGCTCAGTTGTGGCCACTTCTCCCGTTTTAGTATCGTCTGCAAATTTGATCAGCAGACTGTTCACCCCTTCTTCCATGTCGTTAATGAAAAGATTAAACAGGATCTGCCCCAGGACAGAGCCCTGGGGGGCCCCGCTTGTCACTGGCTGCCATCCCGATGATTCCCCGTTAATGGTTACCCTCTGCTTTCGGTCAGTTAACCTTGCCCTAATCCACCGGACAGTGCTTTGGTGTATCCCAAAACTCCTCAGTTTCTCCACCAGGATATTATGGGGCACTTTGTCAAAGGCCTTGCTGAAATCCAGGTAACCCACATCCACTGCATCCCCTCCATCTAGCCATCTCGAAACCTTGTCATGGAATTCCACCAGGTTTGTCTGGCAGGACCTGTTTTTGCGGAAGCCGTGTTGTGTGGCTGCCAGCCTCCCTTCCCTATCTAGCATCACTAGATATCTCTCTCTTATGAGCCTTTCCATTGTTTTTCCTACAATGGACGTAAGGCTAACCAGTCTGTAATTCCCCATGTCCCTTCTACTACCCTTTTTGAGAACTGGAACCACTGACGCCACCCTCCAGTCCTCTGGAACTTCACCCGTTCTCCACGAGGCCTCAAAAACGGAGGCCAGTGGGCGTGAGAGGACCCCTGCCAACTCTCCAAGTCAGGGGTCTCAAACTCAACTGGCCTGGGGGCCGCTGGAAGTAGAGCCTGGGTGAGGCGGGGCCGCATCAAGTATCCCACCGCCACGGTGGTGGGGGGCCGCTCATCCGGAGGCCGGCCCGGGCAATGCATTTCGAAGTACCCTAGACATGCATTGAACCACCTCTTATCTTCCTCTTGCAAGTGCAGCTTGTGTTAATGCCAGGATGAGAAGACTAATGCAAACAGCAAATAATCAATCTAATGGAGGAAACTGTTCTTTTTCAGGTAATGCTCCTGCTGCATCTGGAAAGTGTCCTACAGGCACTCTTCCTGTGGGGGAAAGACTTGACCGACTGCTTGTTTTCCATGGTTTTTATAGGAACTGCTGAAAATAATCTGTTGCCCAATTTAACGGAGATCACATTTCTAGTCAGTCAGCTCTGATTTGACAGAATGATGAGCAACGTGGGGATTTAAAAGCCTCCACTGCACTTTAAATGGCGGCCGTGGGAAACATGACTTCCGTCGATACAAGCACAGTCCAGAATGCTGCAAGATGAAGTTAATGCTATTCTTAGTTACGAAGATAATGGCGTGGCACAGAAATAAGTGGGGGCTGGGTAGGTAAGGCAGTCCGATTCTGTGCAGCCAGGTGCAGGGAGGGGCTAGCTAAATGCCGCATAACAGCAGGTCAAAAGGTACAACCCCCCCCCCCAAAAGAAAAAGGGATGGTTAAATAGGAATATGTGCCGGGAAGGTGAGATGCGCATCATGCAGCTAGACACTCAGCAGCTTAGCTGCCTGGGAGTGTGTCCCAACCAGCTTGTGTTGGGCTGATAGATGTGCTTGAAAAACAGAAGGGGGGTCCTCCCGGGCCATCTAGTCTGACCCCTGGCTCCCGCCAGCTCCACTCATGACATGCCCACCATGTGATGTCCAGCTTAGTCTTAAAAACCCTCGCTGCTGCGGCTTCAACCTCCTCCTGTGGAAGCCCATTCCAGCATCACTCTCACAGCTGAGTGACCTGGGTGAAAAAGCAAGGATGGATTGGTACGAAGCCCAGCTGGAGTGGCTGCAGCGCTTGCATGTGAGCAGCAAGGAGGGTTGAAACCGCATCTGAAGGTGGGAGGTCACAGCCGCAAATCGACTGCCACGCCTCCGCTTTGGAAGCCCAGCTGGTGCAGAGCACAAAAAAGCTGCGTACATCCTAGTTTATATCTGGAAATGGTTCCATCTACCATACTGAGGCCTGTTCTCCCCCGCAGAGGAAGGCAGGCTGCGTTCCAGTGGAGCAAAGCTCAGGGAATAAGATTTAGGGTGGATGCCAGGAAGGACTTCCTGATGGTTAGGACCCCTACGGTATGGAATGGGCTTCCACGGGCGGAGGCTGAAGCCCCATCAGTGCGGGTGTTCAAGGACAGGCTGGACATGCACATGATGGGCATGTCCTGAGAGGAGCCGGCTGAAGCCAGGGGTCAAGCTAGATGGCCCAGGAGACCCCTTCTGACTCACTCTGTTTCTGTGTTTCTACTGGGAGGCAGAGAGCTTCAACTTAATTCCACTTCGCAAAGCTGAGCTCTTGGGGAAATACTAGTGTGTGCTGGTGGTCCCGTATGTTCGATCGTTCTCTGGAGTACAAGGTTCAGTTACCAGGTGGGGTACCGAGAAGAGAGTGATTCTACTTGAATAGGAAGGGCTCACACAGTTACTGCCATTCAGAACAGAATAATCATGTTTTCTGGCTGAAATGAAATGCAGAGCACAGCTAGCTAGGTTGGCCTGCTAGAGTGGCGTGGCTGCAGCTTCTCACTGCTTTTATGCCACATCCTAACACAGTAAAGGACATGAAGGAGAAAATTCGGACGTGATACTGGGCGATGGCGAGGCCTCCCACACACAGCAGCCTCCGTGTGGGACAGTGAACCGAAGTTTTCAGCAAGCCTCTCCTCAAGGCCCACAACCATCCTCAAGGCCCTCTGGCCACGGAACGGCAACTGCCCTAGTTCCATCATTCAGCTCAAGGGGGTCATCCTTCAAAATGAGGACGAATACTGCGGCTTCTCCTTTGTGTTAAAACGCTGCCCTGGGCTATTTTTGAGTTACAGACAATCTGGGCGGACTCCCCCACCTTGCACCCAAAAGTCAGGAGCGCAATTCAGCTGGAGTTTTGGTGCAATCCTATGAATGTGCACTCAGAAGAAAGCCCTATTGAGTTTTGTGGACACCAAGCCTATGC